AAAGTGGTTCACTCATATGGGAAACCTCTGATCTTGTACTAAACTTTCCAGAATCTTCTGTATCCTATTCTTACAGCTGACCTGGTATCACTATGGCCAAGACTAACACTGGTGGTCAGGATGTATTATTAAACTACTATGCCTTTGTAGAGTTTACCCCAACTCTGATACTGACTTTACAACATATTCTTACTACTTTGGTATTCAATTTAAGTTCCATCAAGCTGCCATTCCAGATAGCCTGAAAAGGTAGGTCGAAACCATACACCTCTGGTTTATATGTTTGCTGGCATGTACACTTTTTCTCTAGAACTCGGAAATTCTGGTGGCCTGGTTGGTTCATCCAGTTCCTTTTCAAAAACTAGCACATTTGCTCAGTTTTACAATTTCTAGCTTCGTTTCATAAGTTTAGTCTTTATAGTAGTACTGTCAAAGGTTCAAGTTACCTTTCTACTTGGGTCTTCCAAGTAGGCTTTTATCTTCCTACCTGGTTTTTTTGATTTACATGGCCTAAGGACTTATCTTGGGTTTACACCACCCAGTACCAGTTTGTGTTCCCTTGTACAATGTTGTATGAGTGCCTAGACCTTTCAGTCATGCTAGTATAATACAGGTTACAGATATCCTATTTCAACCAATTACGGAAGACAGTTAGCTATAACACAGAAAGAATTGCAAATTTTTGCCATCACTGAGATTTGAACTTTAGACCTGCCACTTGAGGGTTGATAATTTATTCACTTCACTAGGTTGCCACACCTCTGATTTAAGTAATTATCAGAAAAAATTATATTCAAATTAAAATAGAATTAAAATTAATATATAATAAAATTATAAAAATAATATTTTTTTTTTAGTATTAAGATGACCTCTTTGGTCTTTTGATTTTTATTAATAATTTTTTTTAATAATATAATTCTATAAACTACTACAAAAGAGCATACAATTAGTTATACATATAACTTTTTTATATTATCTATTTAAGAAGACTGCTTGAAAGTTCTTTATTAATTACTATATTTAATACCTTTGCTAAGATGTTTCACTTTAAACTCTCTAAACCTGCAATTTGTGTTAATATTACTAGATCATATCTAGATGCTCAAATCATTATCTCAATCTTAAGACTATTTTATCCTTAAGGTAAACCTTTAGAACCTTCTGTATCTATTTTTATAACTAATCTAAGAAGAAAAATATTTTTTTTAATTACACAACAAGAGTTTTTTTAATAAAAATTAAAATATTATAAAAAGTATTAGAATAATTTTAAATTAGGTTATAAGTAAAATTAGCATTAGGTTTAGAGTTAAGATATAGTAAAATTATAATAAGAATATTTTTGCTTAGTTATATAGCAAAGATTATTCTAATAAAATTTTGAGTTATTATAAAAAAGGCACAAAATGCATAAGTCACTAACTAGTTTTTTTTTTAAAAAAATATATAATTACTGTCAACTATGGATATAACAGAAATCTGAACTAACAAAAAAATTCTGTTATATAGCATATTCATTATATCTATATTATGGTATTAGGTTAGATTCTATTATATAAATATTTATATATAAAATAATCAACACACATATATATATATTATCTAATTAACCTGCATATGACAGGAGGAACTGTCAATGTTATATGTTAATCCTTCACACGACGTAGTCAGTCAATTATAAAATTATTTATTTTATGCTTATTCTAAAATGTTTGTTATGAATATAATCCCTTGCCCTGTCGTTCACATGAAGTGATCAGCTAAACTGAAATTATTTATATGTAACTTCAAGTGTAATAAATATAATTTCTCACTTAGTGTAATTTTAATAGTTCCTCCTGTTCCTGCATATATATGTCTTCTAATTAATCCATATATTTATTTTTTATTCATGTGGGAATAGTTATTGTCAAATAATAAGATCAGATTAAAATAAAAATTCAGATTTTTTAACTCTATAGAAACTTATGTATACTCTTTTATCATTCAATTTCAATCCTTAAATTGTAATACTATGCAAAAAAAAAAGTTACTTTTTTTAAATTTTTAATAAATGTATAATTTTATAAAGCTTCAGTTTGTAACATTAAATTGATATTGAGTTGTTTCCATTGTTTTGAAGAACTTATAAAATTGATTCCATTAAAATGTTATCTAGTTTATATAAACTATGATCAAATATTTAAGTGAACCTTTATTAACATTTAATGCACTTTCTGGTTAAACAACTTAAAATTTCCTAACAAATAGAATGCTGACAATTTTATCAGTGCCTTTAATCCTGATAACTACACAATTGATTCAACAATTCTTTAATTAGACCATGCAAAGTTCATTTTTTGTTTTGCATAAATGAATCTAAAACTTGAGTTGGTTGGTCAGATTTTTTTTCTGCTGATAATCTCAGCTTTATGGATAAAACAGCAGAAAAAATAAATGGTAAAAATAAACCAATTAACACAATTAAAATTTTTTAAAAAATTAAAAAGTGAGTTGATCTGGGTTCTCAGACAATGTGTATCAGGTTTGTGACACAGACAGAATTCTTTAAAATGCATTAAGGTTAAAGTTAAAATCAGAATTAGAATTAGAAGCTAAAGGCAAGTAGTATAATAGTAAATTGTCCAACAAAACCCTTTCATTAGAGCTCAAAAGGTGGTTTTTTATGCTGATTTTTGAGTCATGAGTGATTTTTGGCAGAGCAAACATACATTTTGAATTTTTCTAATCATGTTATATTATATCTAATCTTGAAAATCTGATTCATAGTTCAGGAGCAAATCCAGTACACATTTTTCAAATACTCGATCAGATTATACAAAACAAAAAATTAATTTTGCATTACCTTTAATTTGGCTCTTCTATCAATTCATGAAGTAATTTTAATTGTATATGCTTTATTAATAACACTTAAAAAGGTTCATACTGTAGTTCAAAATAAAAAAAAAACATTGGTAATGCACTACATAAAGAAATAAATTTTACTTTATATCATTTTTAATAAGAGATAAGCAGTTTTTTGAGTACATACCTTCAGATTTTAAGCAATTCCCCAATTAATAACATAATCCCAAATTATTACTTCTTTCATTTGTAAATCATTACAACTAATGAACAAAACTTTATCTTATACCAAATTTAATATTTAAGGTTAATACATTAAATGATTATTAATAAAGCAAAAAAAACCTGCATCTATTTTTTTATCACATCAAAAAAAAATCTCTAAGTTTTTTGTTAAAAGCTGTAAGAATTAGATATAAGCACTAGAGTAATTCTTAAGATATTTTTTTTTTTAAAAAAAAAGATCCAAAAAAAAAGAGAACCAAAAAAAAAACCAAAAAAAAAAAGACAAAAAAAAACAAATTATTTAGTTCTTATTGCAAAAAAAATTAGTAATGTTAACCTGCTTTTTTCAAAGAGCAGAAAATCATAAAACTTCCTTTTTCAAACTATGAACAGTATTTCTATCTTATTAGTAGCTATAAAATCATCAAATTGTTATAAAAGATATATTTCAATTAAATCCAAAGCTTTCAAAGTATTATGATCTATAATTTTAAATGCTGGTTCTAATATTTCTTTTTCAGTGAGATGGTTAACCTTATTTCCAATATTACGAATTATATCATCATCAGATGGCATCTCAAAAGCAACATCAGCATTGATATCTACAAATTCTCTCACATCTATAGGATCATCAATTTCACTACTTACTGCCAAATTAGTTATTAAATTATCAAATTCATCAAATTCATTTTTTAACTCTAGCTCTAACTGCTGACATGCTATTCCTTTTCTATTGCTCAGTATCAAGGAAGAATACCTGTTTTTAGCCAAGCATTCATAATTGTTTCCTGAATAACTTTGCTTTATGCATCTGAGGTAGCATTAATTGCATTGAGAATACTAAATCTATTGAGTGAAGAAAAATTCTAACCTTCATTTTATCGAATGCATCAAGCCAATTTTTTACAAAAATGCTTTTATAATAGTATTTAAATAAATGGATTATGCTGGCATCACATAGCTAAAGGTGGGCAGTTGTATTTTTTGATATCTTTTCAATACGAATATTGGTAAGTTCAACATCCCGAATATGGATAGTACAATAGTTTACAAAAAGAAGAATATGACGATTTTGGAGTCTTATTGTTTTGTCAACACATTCTAACCAGTTATTATATGTAGAGACCTGCATTCATACAGTTTAGTTTCAATAATACCAGACTAGTAAATTTTTTTTATTCAAATTTTGAATGGTACGTGGATTTTTATTGGTATAAATAAACACAGGAGGAAGCTTTTCTGTTCTGGTTGCATTTTTTACAAGCATCATGGTTGCTTATACTTTATCCTTTTTATAACTAGAGACAGGACTACATGCAAAGGTTTTTAATAGATGCATCCTCTAACAAAGGGACATTTCATCTGCATTTCAAATATTATTAAGTGCATACTCTTCATATATTGCTTGAAAACACTCTCTGTGTTTATTCAGGGATTTAACTGGTAGGAAACTTAGAGCCTCACCATTTCTATTATACTGACTGAGACCAAATTATTCTTGAAAACCATTAATCCAACCAGTACCTTTAAAATCAATAATGATTAGAGCTGTGGTAAAGGTTTTAGCTTTGATAATTAGTGCTTCTTGATTTAAATTCATACTTGCTATGAAAGTGCTTTTTACTCAGATATGCATAACTTCACTCAACTAGAGCCACTTTAGTTAGCATCACATTTACAGGTTGCCTTAGCTTTGTTAGTTGTATTAACACTTAACTATTAAGAAGATTGTTTGAGAATATCAGATATATATGTCTTTTGACACCATAATCTTTGGCAAGTTCATTGTTTAGGATAGATGAAAACTTTTACTTTTTTTTACAAATTTTCTTTTTTTCTTCAGCTGTGAGATGCTTTTTTTTAACAGGTGCTTTAGTTTTAGTTACTATTTTATTGTGCAGTTAGATGAAATGCATTGTGTTAAAAATCTGAAATTTTTTTTCTTAAAAAAAAAAAAAAAAATCAGTCTTGCATAAAATTTCTATGTACCTGCAACTTTATTAACAGATAATTAAAAAAAAAATCAGTCTTGCATAAAATTTCTATGTACCTGCAACTTTATTAACAGATAATTAAAAAAAAAATCCAAAAATTCAATCGAGTCATTAAAGTTGTAACTCTAGAGCTGATGGTTTTGCTTAAGATTAAACCTTAAACATTTGTTCATTTGATAAACTTTTTATTATTATTTTTTTTTATTTAAATTTTTTTTTTAAACATCCAGAAGTTCAATTGAGCTGTTGGAGTTGCAAACTCCAGAGCCAATAGTCCTGCTCAAGATTGAACCTTGGAAGTTCATTTGATAAGTTTTTTTTTTTTTTAATTTTTTTTTTTAATTTTTTTTTTGTTTTTTTTATAAAATAGGTTAAAGTGTGAAAAATGAATAGAATGATTATCTTCGAATATTAGAGTGTTTGTAAATAAGTGATTCAGATGCTAACGCAAGTGACCATAATGCATTTGTTTTTATAAAGGCTCATATTACACTATTGTAATAAAGAACTTTTAGCAAAGTTTTTTTTTTTTGCTTACAAAAAAAAAAAAATTAAAAAAAAATTATTAACAGCACTTAAAAATCTGCGAAGACAAATTCTTATCTTTTAAAGCGCTATGTGTTCAGTAACCACTTTTTTTGCTTAATCATATGAAAATGACCTGCAGTTTGATTGGCTGATCATCAGGTATATCTATGAAACCGTTATATAAATAAATAAATCTTAATAAAATTAGAAAGTGGGCTGGCAAGAAGTTCCGTTATACGTAATATAGATTTTTTGTTATTAAATCCATTAAATCCATTTTAAATTACTATTAAAAATTTGGTACTTTGAATTTAATCTGTTAAACTCATGAATCTGGTGTAAGGATATCTGTTATATCCATAGTTGACAGTATATATTTTTTATAATCCTGAAAATTTTTATTTAAAAACTTAAAATAGATTAACTTAATAAAATTTTGAGTAATGTTAATTTATTTATTTGTTCAAAAAATGTTCACAACTGTCCTGTGCCAACACTGCTCAAAAGGGGTCTTTTAGTCAGTGCACTATGGTATTAATTATTTTATTTAAAGATCATATAAGTAAAATAAAAAAACTAATATAAAAAAAATTTTGATAAAAATGCACATACAGTATTATAAGCAAAATATAATATAACAAGCTGAGGATAAGTAAAAATAAAGCTATTTGATAATTGTAAGAAAAAATTGTTATAATAACATTTATTATTTTATAATTTGGGCCGAATTTTTTAGTTATAGGGACAACAAATAAAAATTGATCAGCCAATGAATTTGGCATTATTAGATTACAAAAATCCAATTCCAATTCAAAATCTTATTGAATTTGGCTAATCAAATTATTATTAGTTGTCTCAGAACAGCAATAATACTGGCTGGATTAAATGGTTAACACGGTTAAACAGTTAGAAAAACCTTAGTGTAGGCTTTGCAAAAATTACCTATGCAATTTCTGAAATTTTGGTGGCTATAAAAACTGTATTCCACAATTGGTTCTTGAGCCGAAATAGCATAATACATCTACTTTTTGATAACGGGTACTATTTGTAACTCACTCATGCCTGTTGCCAATAGCAGACCTTTAAAGTAAGATGGGTATGGGCTGAGAGCCGGGCCTGAGCTTGTATTCACTCGACTTTAAAGGTCTGCTATTGGCAACAGGCATAAGTGAAGTACAAATAGAGCCTGTTATCAGAAAGTACACTATTTCACATACCGATTTTGGCTCAAGCTCCAATTGTGAAACACAGTTTTTATAGCGGAGGCATACTTAGTGGTACTAATATCTGTTTGGTTTGCATTTCCTATAACCTGGCTGAATGGTATATGAAAGATTGAATTATAGTACTTATATAAGAGCACATATATATCACAAATAAAAGATGTTAGGCTAAACCTAATTAAAAAAAAAAAAACAATTAACAGATCAACTGATTTTATAATACTACTTTGCTCTTTTTTTTTTTTTTTTTCTTAATAAATTGGAAATTTTTATAAATAAAATGTAAAATTTAGTTAGAGTTCTCAAATACCTTACATAATAATTTAAAATCTTGGAATTAAGTCTAAAATAGGTGACACCTCTGGCAAAAGAAGAAGTATTTTGGAAGTACATTAGTACATAATTGTGTAAGTTAACCAAAATTACAAGTTATTCGTAATTCGAAAATTATTTTGCATGTCTGTAATCTGTGACAGGTTAAGTCACTGATTTCAATCACTATCTGACTATGCCTTAAATCATGATGAAAAAGCTATTTAATTACTAAAGTTGAATATATAAAAAACGATTTGATTGTATTTGATTATTATTTAATTTGTTTGTGATTTTATAAATTAACTTTTTTTTTTTATCAAACATGAGTAAAGTGTTTAAATAACCTATCAACTTCTAATAAGATTTACTGCAAAAGAGAACCAATATTTTAATAAAGTTTATAAAAAAAAATAAAAAATTTAATACGAAGGTCCTTTAAATGCCTCGCAGGTTATACAAATTTGGATATATTTTTTTTTTAAAAAAACTTATAAAACAGAATTAAAAAAATGGATAAGAACGATATTTCTGGTATCATAGTGTTAGATAAATTCAAAGATCAATGTAATGAAATAAAAATAAAATCATTTGAATATTTTCTTGATGATTTTAGTTGTGACTGTTCAATCAACAATGTTGCGAAAATATGAGTTCACAAATAAATAAGATGAAAGAAAGAAGAATTCAGCTCTTTGCATTATTTTTATCTGAAAGAGATAGAATTAAGTAAAAAAAGTATCTCTCAAGAATGTGTTGGACAATAGCACTGTTACAGGGTTGCAGCCTTCTTGGTACAATACAACCAAGTAACAAGGTCACCCAGTACAGTGATTGATTATTGCAAATATATACGGGGTGGAGGTGTAGTAGTTCACTTTACTACACAGCAGTAGGCAATCGGTTCGAGATAATAACAGTATATAGATTAACTTTTATTAAATAAACGCATAGTGACAACCTTGCCTATAGGAATTACTCTAGAGAGGGAATATCACATTTTATCATTAAAAGGTCATTATGTTTGGGTGAAGTGTAGGAACTTAGAATTGGCAAGAAAGAGGAAAAGGTACTCTTTATATATCTTTTTACCTAGTGGAGGTAGTGGGGATTGTGTGGGGGTAAGTGGAGTTTGTACAGGGATAGTTGGGACAATGTTTATGTGTATT